GCCCGAGTCCCACACCAGAGTTACACATCAGAATTGCGAGTAGAGTCGGGACACAGACTGTGGTATCTATCTGTATTTTAGTGCATTTCCCAAAGCTCTGGCTTGGTGGTCACAATTAAGGGTCCTGGGCTTAGCTTCTGATTTTTTCCACTTATGACCTTGGGCAAATTCATTGAGCTCATCTAAACTTCTGTTCTCTTTTCTCTAAAAGGGGGTTATGATTATGACCTGCCATACAGTACAGTTGAACTCATGGTAAGGTAGCATATAATGTATGTTACTTTTCTAAGATGCATTTTCATATTGAGGTTCTTTTTATTTGGAACAAGTCACAACTCAAGGTGGAGGTCTTGCCAATATTGGAATTTCTTGACCGAGGGTTCTGCTTTCAGTTCTGTTATGACAAGAAGTATTTATCAACTTGGTGTAAATGTGACAGAGTAAAAACAGCATGAACTTTGGCATCAGACCAGGCTTTGCTGCAATCTTAGACTAGTCAGCTATTAGCCATGCTGCCTTTAACAAATTGCCTAAACCCTCTGAGTTCTCTCTTTTTATCTGTAGAATGGGCGTAATAATAACACCTCCCAACACCAGGTTATAAGGATTAAGTGATAACATGTATGTCACTGGTTCTCAACATTGGCCTCCCACTAGCATCATCTGGAGAACTTTACTAAAACAAAGTCCCAATGGTGAGGCCCCAGGTTGGGAATTTCCACTCTTCCTCAAGTTCTTGCCCTGGGGTCCGACATACCAAGGTCCTCAACAGCTAATGACTAAAGGCAGCTCCCGTGTTCCTCTGACTCTTTTTTCTTCCATTTGTGGTGTCCACCACATGCTCCACCGGGAGCATTGACGGGAACTGAGGTCAGGCCCTGCCCTCCTCCCGGCAGCCCAGACCCCTAACCTGCATCTGTAGACTCAGCACCTCGCCCTCCCCGGGCCCAGGGCCTGCTGGCCTATGGCTCAGCTTTGGCTCAGCTTTGGGGCCACAATTAACCCTTCCCTCCTCTGGTCCATACTGCACCATGAGCCCCCACTCTGGCTCACAAGGCCCTCTCTTATCTCTGAGTCCAAGTCCAGCCTTGAGAAACTTCCAGTGACCTCAGACTCTTGAGAACAAAAATGTCCCCTCCCATATGGTAGTCCCCTCCCAGACACAGAGACCCACGTCTGTCCCAGCCTTGTGGTGGGTCCTTGCTGCTTCCCTGGGCCAGCAACATCGAGCACTCTGTGGCAGACTTCTGGTCAGAGATGGCAGGATCATTGCTGACTTTTTCCCCTTTCATTCCAGAGACATCAATAGAAGGCAAAAAAAAAAAAAAAACCTGATTAAAAAAAATTTTTTTTTATAACGTACAAACCCATGAGACCACTTTCACTAGAGTCTCATCTTCCTGCAGTATGAGCATGAGGTAGTTTGTGTGGTGGTCTCACCCACCCCGAGATGTCCACATCCCAACCCCTGGAACCTGTGGTTATGTCAGATTACAAGGCAAGGAAGAACTGTGGTCACAAGCGGAACTGAGGTTGTAAATAAGCTGACCTGGAGACGTGGTGATGAACCTGGATTATCAGGGTGAGCCCAATGTAACCACAGCGTGCATGTGTGCATGCGTGCTGAGTCATGTCCACCTCTTTGTGACCCCTCAGACTAGCCCAGCAGGCTCCTCTGTCCATAGGATTTTCCAGGCAAGAACACTGGAGCAAGTTGCCGTTTCCTCCTCCAGGGGATCTTCCCGACCCTGGGACCAAACCCACGTCTCCCGGATTGGCAGGCAGGTTCTTTACCGTTGTGCCACCAGGGAAGCCCATTGTAATCACAAGAGTCCTTATAAGTGGGAGAGGGAGGCACAAGAGGAGGTGAGATGTGACTGGGGAAGGACTGTCAGAGAGACGCAAGGAGATGGAGGAGGGGGCTGTGAGCCAAGGAACACAAGCAACCTCCAGAAGCTGAAAGGAGCAAGGAAGTGGCTTCTCCAGTGGGGCCTTTGGAAGGGGCCAGCCCTGCCCAATGGCAACATGCTGGCTGTTGTGTTATCCAGAAACTTGGCTGGATGACATTTCTGTGTTGTTTTTAGACATGGCATCCACGGTGATTTGTTGGAGCGGCCACAGTGAACAGATGCAGTTTGTTTCTAACGACACTACTGCCTGGGTTCCTGCCTTGTTCCAACAGGGAGAGGCCTCCCCCAGTGACATTTCGGTCCAACCCCAAAACTTGTATTACTTTTTTGATTACTAAGCAGACTTATTTCCGTTTTAAAAATTTAGTCACACTCATTTAAAAACTTCCGTCTCATCTTTGACTCAAAGCTCCCCGCTTTGCCCAGCGAGGGGAGTAGAGAGCAGGGTGAGGGGTGAAGGCTGCCTCAGCTCCCTGAGCACCCTTCCCTGCCCTCATCCCCCCTGGTATGGGATTGAGGAGGAAAGACAGGGACAGACAATTCTCCACAGGAAGTCTCCCCTCGCTGGGTCACTGCTGCTGATCGAGTTGGTGGTGTTGGGTGGAGACTCACTCCTGGCCCTTGGAGTCCCTTGGGGTCCCTTGAGAGAATTGGCTGCACCTTTGGGCTGGCTGCCAGCCTCCTCTCATGTAAACACCTCTTTACCTGATGCTTCAGTAGCTCTCAGGAAGCCTGTGCCCCATGACCTTATCTACTCCAGGCCTGACAACACAAGTGGGATTCAGTTTCCATACTTTCCAGAGCCTGAGCTGGACTGCACAGCCGTGATGCACTGCCCACCACTCTACTCCCTGCCGTCTCTCCCCAGGGCTCCTGTCCCCTCTCTCGGGGTGGGGGGGCACCCACTGGGATGTGGCTATTAATAGCCCCCTTCCTTAGCTGCACGCTCCCAAAAAGACCTGCTCATCTTGGTTCCGTTGAAAAGGCACCTGTCGGCAGTTCATGGGGGAAGAGCTATTTCTCTGATCTTAGGTTATGGGGAACTTGGTACTTTCATTCTCAAGCCCTGATCATTCATTCTGGGGAATGCCTTGGGCGCCCACAGCACCATATGACTACCACAGCAAAGTTCCTTTTGAGGTAAAGTGAGATATCCTGACCTCCATCTGCCCTCTCCTTGATGATTCTGAGGCATCCTGACACTGGAAGGCCCTGAGACACAGAGAGGAAGCGTTCCGTCCTCCCTCCTACCTGGGTGACCTGGGGGAGGTCACTACACCTCTGTCTCAGGCCCTGTCTAGAAAAGGGTGTGGTGGTGAGGGTGAAATAAGGTGAGTGATGAGAAAGCTCTTGGTGCACTAAACATGCTCAAAACATCTGATGGGAAATCAACGCCATTCGATTTGTGTGAACTGCAGAATATTTACCACTTCACATAGTTCTGAAAAATGACCCATAGTTTCACTTTCTGGCATCATCCTATTTCCTCTTTCTTTCCCAAGAATCTGATGAGAATAAAATTTCTTTGAACTTGAAATCTGAACAAAAGGAAGCTACACTAAATGGTTGATTGACTCTTATCAGTGTTATAAAAGTAAATGCAAAAGTTAAAAAAGATAAAAAAGCAAAGAATTCGGAAGGTTTACAGAGAACAGTCACAGCTGCCAGGCCTCTTGCTTCCCTCCCAACACCCAGTCATGCTCTTCAGATGCAACAGCTTTTAACTCTGCCTGGTGTGTGTCTCTATAGCTCTAAAGAGTATGTTTATGTTTCTCCTTGGAGAAATCCGTCAGGAGTAAAAGAAAAAGTCAAAAAGATAGAAAATATGAGGGGGAAGTTAGACTAAGAACTAGGAGACATTTAAGTAAGAGAAAAGAGACTGAGTGGCCATCAACAGATAGATGGATGAAGAACATGTGGAGGTATACATATATATTCACACACACATATATACACTGGAATATTACTTGACCATAAAGAATGAAATGTTACCACTTACACAACACAGATGGACTTAGAGAAGAACACACGAAGTGAAATAAGTCAGACATAGAAAGACAAATACCATATGACATCACTTAGATGTGGAATCTTAAAAAATAATACAAATGAACTTGTTTACAAAACAGAAACAAACTCACAGAACTAGAAAACAAACTTATAACTACCAAAGGGGAAGGAAGAGAGGGATAAACTAGGAGTATCGGATTAACAGATACATGCTACTATATACAAAGTATTTACTGTGTGTGTACATATATATATAAAGGATTTACTGTATAGCACAGGGAACATCTTGTAATAACCTATAACGGAAACAAACCTTTTCTCATCCAGACTAATTCAGTTTGCTTTGCGTCTTTCTCCCTCTAATCATGCCTCACTCAAAGAGATCCATCAAGGTATTTTTCTAACGTCCACCTCAAAAAACCAGTGAAAATGTTAGTCGCTTAGCTATATCCAAGTCTTTGCAACCCCATGGTCTATAGCCTGCCAGGCTCCTCTACCTATGGAATTCTCCAGGCAAGAATACTGGAGTAGATTGCCAGTCCCTTCTCCAGAGGATAGTCCCAACCCTGGAATTGAACCCAGGTCTACATTATAGGCAGATTCTTTACATCTAAGCCACCAGGGAAGCACTCCCCCACACCCCAAAAATAGCTCTCAAAATTCTATCTGCCCTGTTATGAATTGAGTCTAGTCCCTTTGACATAAAAATAACTGCTGTCAGTTACTGCTTTAAATGGCATTTCCCCTTCCTGCTGCATGTTTGACAGTGTAAAGAAAAGCAGTGATTATGTCTACAGTTTCTAGAGTAACTGATAAGTATATGTCTTACTTCTAATTTTCGTACATTCCCTGTAAGATAGTAGACAGCATCATTTGCATATTGCAGGTGAGGACACTGAGGCTTGGAGAAAGTTAACCACTTGCCTGAGGTCTCCCAGCTGCAAATCAGCAGGGTTTGATTGTGAACAAACGCCTGCCTGGTCCCTAAGCAGATGTAGCTGCACAACGTGGTAGATAACTGCCTCCACCCCCCAAGAAGCCCTTCATTCATGTCTTATCCTCTCCCTCCATTCTTCTCAGGATCCCAAGGCCATGGATTGGTGGAAGGACAATTTCTGGATCATCTTGGCTGTGGCCATCATCTTTACCTCTGTGAGCCTAAGCACCATCCTGTTCTGTGTCTGTAGGTGTCTGTTTAGACAAGGTAATGACCCTCCCCCTTGGGCAGGTGGAGGGAGGGGAGGGAAGAGGTGGTTTTCAGGGGACTGGGGCTTCTTTAGGGCACAAAGATTAGTTCTGGGCTTGCATGGACTGAACTCTGGATTTAGCATCCTGCCTCTGGGTCTGAGTCCTAGCTCTGCTACTAATATGTGTCTCTGAGCCTCAATTTCTCCCTCTGCGCAGTGAAGGGAGGGAGGTTACTTAATCTCCAAGAACTCTTCTGGCCCTCATGGTTTGGGTAAAAGCAGAATCAGTTTCAAGGCACGCTGTTCTCTAGTGCTGTCTCTCCAATGTGGCTGCTGATCACAGCACCTTACCTCTGGAACTTGAGAGTACAAGTGCATGGAATGTCAAAAACTGTCTTGATTCCAAATGCATTGAGTTGTATACATGAAATATGTATAGTGTTTTGTATGGCAATCATTCTCCACAAAGTAATTTTTAAAAATATTTTAGAACACCTCTGGCTGTCTAATGGTTAAGACTCCACACTTCCAAAGCAGGGAGCATGGGTTTGATTCCTGGTTGGGAAACTAAGATCCCACATGACATGCAAGATGCCAAAAAAAAAAAATTAAAAACTGAGTGTTTTTGAGCTATCTTAAAAAAAGTCTTAATTTGAGTTTTCCATCTCTCACCTTACCCCATAGTGTACCTTCACATTTTGAAGTGTGGTATAAAAAAAAATCTTCAGGCATGAAAAATGGACTTATTTCATGGTTGACCACCGTGACTGCCATTCTAAGATCATACTCTGAATTTGGGGGTATTATATGTGCCTTGGATAGAGGTTCTTAGCACACTTGGACATAAATAAGCAGCTTCTTGGAGGATTAATGTGAATTTAGACTATCTACAAGTGAGTTTCCACTTTAATACTCATCTCCAAAAACATGAAATTTTGGTTCAATAGAGAGTTTTCTTAAGATCCTACCCCTTACCTAATGACCTAGGCCTGGAGTATACCTGGGGATGGTAAATGTTCTGAGAGGTATGGCTGTCTTGCCCTGGGGCACCTAGGGGGCATCCCTCCATGATCAGGGTCCTGTCCTCCTGATGCATCTGGACATGGCCTCAGGGTCCTGCTGAACCAGTGCTGGAAGGTCAGGGCTGCTCAGGAATGAAAGCTTCTGTCATTCTTTCAATCTCTCTTTAGAGATAAGAAAGCAAGGTTCAAAGAGAGGCAAATCCTTGGTTCGGGTCTCCTAGGACTTGGTGGCAGAGTTGGAACCAGAAATCGGGTACACTGGGCTCGCCATTAAGAGTCCTTTCCCCTCCACCCCCTGATGGTAATTAGGTTTTTTAAATACAGAAGATATATTCTAGCCACCATAGTCCTCCATCCACTTGCCTTTTTTAAATATTTCATTTTTTAAATTTTGATTTGTTTTAATTTTGGTTGCACAGGCTCTTGGGTGCAGTGCACAAGCTTTTGCTAGCTGTGGTGTGCCAGTTTAGTTGCCTCGAAGCATGTGAGATCTTAGTTCCCTGACCAGGGATCAAACCATGTCCCCTGTATTGGAAGACAGATTCTTAACCACTGGACCACCAGGGAAGTCCCAAAACATTTTGCTTTTAGATATGGACAAAATATGACCCTGAACAAAAACTTATACTTATTCTTTTATCTTGACCCACTCCTATTAACAAGTAGGTTATAATTAATAATAACTTACATATCCAGCATATCAGTTTACAAACTGCTGTTCCCATTCTTCATCTCATTTTCTCCCATTAATGCTTTTGACTATTCACTCAACTAGTATTTCCAAGTGACAACTATATGCTAGGTAAACACAGTACCAGGCAATGAGGGAGCAGCCACAGCCCACAGTGGATTAGTCCCAGACTCTGAGGTCAGACGGTCTGGATGACATTCTGACTCTATCAATTATGAGCTCTGTGCCCCTAAGTCTGTTTTGTCTGGATGGTTATTCTTCTTACTATCCTGAACCTGCCCATTCTCTGATCTCTTCTAAACGCTAAAAATCACAATTTTGGACAATTCTTCCTAAATGAATATGCTTGTTTTTTTTCCTTAGGCAAGAAACTGGAAATTTCCAAGTCCTTGAAACAAAAGCAGAGAGATGAAGAAACGATGTATGAGTAAGTGGGGGGAATCCTGCTTTTTAATTTGGAGAACTGCCTGTCCACTTCCATTCTTGTGTGCCTGTGCTACAGAGCCGGCGTGTGCATGCTCAGTCATTTAGTCATGGCCAGCTCTTTGCGACCCTGTGGACTGTAGCCCACCAGGCTCCGCTGCCCGTGGGATTTTTCCAGGCAAGAATACTGGAGTGGGTTGCCATTCCTTCTCCAGGGGATCTTCCTGACCCAGGGATCCAACCCACATCTCCTGCTTGACTGGCAGATTCTTTACCACTGAGTCACCTGGGAAGCCCCTGAAACTTCTTACCAAAGTACAAAATAAATACAAAAAAATGCATATGGTAAGAGTACAATGCAATGAATTTCCACAAACTAAACAGACCCAGTAGCTGGCACCCAGATCAAGAAACAAAATTATGAGCATCTCAATCCCATAGATGCCCTTTCAGCCTTTAAACTCTAAGGATAATCACTGTTTGAAATAGCATAGGCTCATTTTTCCTTGTCTTTATACTTCATATACATGGAATTATATAGTATGTGTTATTCACTGTTTAACCTCTTCCTCTCAGCATTTTTTTGTGAGATTCATTGTGTGTAGTTGTAGACCGTTCATTCTTATTACCATAGAGTGTTCCACTGTGGAACTGAACCATGACGAAACTTATCCATTCTGCTACTTACGGGCATTTGGGTAGCAGCCAGTTTGCCACTGTTACGAACAGTGCTGTTATAAACATTCTAGTAACATATCTTTCGATCAGCAGGCTATAGACCCAATGTTGCCGTCACATGGTCGGTGTATGCTTAGCATTAGGAGTACACCTGTTTTTTGTTTGTTTGTTTGTTTGTTTGTTTGGCTGTGCTGGGTCCTCATTGCTTCAGGGGCTTTTCTCTAGCTGCAGTGAGCGGGGGCTACTCTTCATTGAGGTGTGAGGGCTTCTCATTGCTGTGGCTTCTCTTGTTGCAGAGCACAGGCTCTAGAGCTTTAATAGCTGCAGCATACAGGTTGCATAGTTGTGGCTCCCCAGGCTCCAGAGAACAGGCTCAGTAGTTGTGGCTCACGGGCTTGGTTGCTCCACAGTATGTTGACTTCCTGGATCAGGGGTTGAACCTGTGATTCTTTATTACTGAGCCACCTGGGAGTTTTGCACATCCATTTTGCACATCAAAATACACCTGGTGCTTACCTTCCCCTCCTGATCCAGCTGAGGTAAACACAGGAAGATGAGCTCTGTGGTCTAAGTTAGAATGCTTCTGCTCCACGCCCTCAATTCCAAATGGTCGCTGGGCTAAAGAAATGGTTTCTTTAGAATGTCAGTTACAGATGGGATGCAAGACCTAGAAAAGAAAGGAGATGCTTTCAGTCTTTAGGGACCAAGATTTGAATGTTCAACTCTGTCCATTTCCCTTGACATTTTCTCTTAAATGGCAGGCATGATCAAAACCAAACACTGACTCCTATTCTTTCTCTCTTCCAGGAATGTTACGGAACAATTCTCAGTTCAATTACCCGCTCTGCCACCCAGGGATATGCTCTCCCCAGAAGTTGCCTGTGAGTATATTTTGCTGATAACAGTCTCATTCAGGGTAGAATAATAAAACTGTCTTGGCATCTTAGTCAGCTTGTGCTCAGTCACTCAGTTGTGTCCAACTCTTTGCAACCCCACAGACTGTAGCCCACTAGGCACCTCTGTCCATGGGATTCTCCAAGCAAGAATACTGGAGTGGATTGCCATTTCCTCCTCCAGGGGATCTTCCTGACCCAGGGATTGAACCCACCTCTCCTGTGCCTCTTGCATTAGCAGGCAGATTCTTTACCACTAAGCCACTTGGGAAGCAGTCAGCTTGGGTTGCCCATAAAACAGTAGCACAGACAATCTGGCTTAAATGACAGTAAATTTCTCACAGTTCTGGAGGCTAAAAGTCCAAGATCAAGGTGCCAGGCCAATCTGGTGTCTGTTGAGAATACTTCTAGTTTGCAGATGGCTGCCTTCTCACTGGGTCCTCACATGGAGGGGAGAGAGCTCTCTGGTGTCTCTTAGAAGGGCACTAATCCTATTGGATCAGGGCCCTGCCCTTCTGACCTTGTTTAACTTTAATTACTTATTTGGAGACCCCATCTCTGAATATAACTGAACTGGTGGTTGGAGTTTCACCATATGGATTTTGTGGGGACACAAACTTTCAGTCTATTATACTGGGATTTGCAGATGGCAGCAGCCTGCTTCAAGGAGATGAATTAAGTTTAAGGTGGGGGGGTGGAAGTACAAAATAAGTACCAACGCTTCTAATATTCAGTGTGTAAATTCATATTCAAATTCCAGCTTGCAGCGTGGGTATAAAGAAATACTGGGCTTCTCACACTTCGTATCAGAAAATCTCTGCCTGGTTCCCTTGACTGGAATATTCTTCCTTAAGCTCTACATACAGCTGACTTTACTTCACCCTTTGGGTGTCAGCTCAAGTGTTACCACCTCTGAGAGTTCATTCCTGCCCATCCTTCTAATTCTCCTTTTGAAGCTTATGGCTATTATCCTAAGTGAGCTTATTTAATTATCCTTCATTTGTCCATTATCTGTCTCCTCCATTATAATACAAACTCTAGAAAATAGGCACCTTTCTTGTCTTGTTCACCGTTGTTTACCCACCATTAAGAACAGTGCCTAGAGGGACTTCCCTGGAGGTCCATGGGTAAGACTACACACTCCCAGTGCAGGGGGCCTGGGTTTGACCCCTGGTCGGGGAAATAGATCCCACGTGCCATACAACTAAAGAGTTTGCATGCCACAACTAAGACCCTGGACAACCAAATAAATAAATATTAAAATAAACAAATAAATATTTTAAAAATAGTGTCTAAAGCTTAGTAGATAGTGGATGAAAATATTTTAATTGAACAGATAAGTAGTAATATTAGCTAGCATTTATTGAGCAAGCACTGTGTGTCAGGTCCCATGCTACGCACTTTATAGGTACTGCCTCCTTTAATCTTCTCAGCAACTAGATGCAGCAGGTACATTATTATGTCCCTCTGACAGAGGAAGACATTGAAGCACAGAGAAGTTAAGCGAGTTACTCATGGTCACATAGCTAGTGACTGCTGAATCCTGAAGATGAGTTTGGATCTGACTGCAGAACTTATTCAAGTTCTCTTAGGAAAAGATGTGATTGTGGGGAGGCAGTTCCAGGGCCCATCAAGGGGGAGCTGAGATTTTCCTCCCACTTTAGTCCACATGCTATGTGCCCATCTTCTGCTAATTCTACCTTTTGAAGACACCACTGCCCCCTTCCTTCTTAGCAGAGGGGTGACGGACGTGAGCAATTATAGATAGTTCTGGAATGCAGTGTTCAGTCATTGTGAGGGATGTGCCTGAAAGGCGATATTGTTTGTATCGCTTCCTTATGAGAATTAGAACCTGTAGGCGCAGCACTACTCATTCCGCCACCAGCGCTGGTCAGTTTCTTGTCTGAACGTCTGTCTTGTGGCTCCCACTGCAGTGCAGTCAGGCAAAGCAAGAAGGGAGTCAAGACGACTGATGTTTGTCACTTACTCACTGGGGTGAGTCTGAGACCGTGTCGTGGCTGGACCTCAGTTTCCTCTGTGAAATGGGGATCTGGTCCACCAATATGTGGGAGGATCACTGAAACCCATGAAAATCATGTAGAACTACTTGGTCAAAAATACATAAACACACGCTAGCTTTGCATCTGATACCTTTTTGTGTATTCCAGCCCCACAGGAAACCCCAAGTCGGCCCACACCAGCTGCATACTCTTCGGTACATAAAGTTAGAAGTAAGAAGACAATCACCATCCCAAGCTATATTGAGCCTGAAGAAGACTATGATGATGTTGATGTCCCTGACAATACAGAAAACCATCATTTTGAAACAAAGGTTTCTTCCTTTTGGCAAGCAGAAGATGGTTCACAGAGCTTATTTTAAAAACGATCAAGAGTGGTTGAAGTTCAATAAGTGCCCAGGTCCAAAAACCAGTGGTAACATTATGGAGCTCTAGAAGATAAACACTTTCTGAATCAGATGGAGAAGCATCAGTGACCAGATAACTGCAGCCAGAGGAAAGCTGCCTGTGCTCAGCTCTGAGAATGGAGAGGAGTCAGGCCTTGGGCTTCTGCTGAGCGAGGTTCCATGCGGAGGCCCACTGGACCCTGCAAAGCCCTCCCCCCTGCCCTCCGCCCTGAGAAATCACTCAGTTCCCGGCATTCTTCCCCTGTTTGTGTGGTTCTAAGTGATCTTAAATCTTGGTGTTTGATTGCACGATCCTCCCAGTCTCCCATCCCCTGCACAGCCCCCACCCACTCCACCCACCTCACACACTGAGGGGCTGTGGGTGGTAGTTACAGCTAAGCACTCTTGCACGCAAGTCACACATCATGCCTTGTGCATTCTTCAAGGGTGAGGGTGTGCTTCTTGTTCTTGTGAACCCTCCCCACCTACACAACCCCAAGCCCCAGGGATTCTCTATGACATCAGCCCAACTAACCACAGAGATCCAAGTTCCCAGCCAGAGTTTTTTCACTGCTTCCGGACTGCACTGTAACAATCAACAAAGAACAGAAGTCACCTTCTGGACCACAGGACAGATGTTACCCATAGGGGTGTCAATTTGGCAATATGTGTACTGAGGAAAGAAGGTTTCCCCAGGAAAAATCATAGGGAACAGGAAAGAAAGGGGCAAGTCAGTAGCAGATTCAAGATGAGAGTTCAGGGGTCTTTAATACCCTCCTCCGATATTTTCATTACTGCTTCCCCCCTTGTGTAGCATTCAAGACAAAGAGCATCATGTCCTCCCTGCCAGATTCCTGTCCCTGAGTGGCTGGGAGGCAGAAACTCCAGTTCAATATGCTACTCCTAATGATACACCCGGAATATGCTACTCCTAATGATACACCTGGGGAGCGGGCTGCTGTCCAGTTATACGAGTGTCCTAGTGGGGTCGCCAAGGCCTGAGTCAGATTTGTAGGCTCCTGGATTCCTTTGTAGGCTCAAAGATTCCTTCAAGTTGATCTGCTGACACCTGAGGACTTGACACTGTCTAGCCAGACTCACAGGAGGCTGACTTCTAAGCAATCCCTGAGAAATCTACCTAACAGGCTTGCAGGGCAAGCAGCATGAACTGGTGGAAAGGCCCAGGAGTGACAGCTGGACTGAGCTCCTCCCTGAGAGATGGAAAGCGTGTACCTGTCATCCCCCTCAACCACTTAACTACTGCTGGGCCAAGAGGACATGTGCTTCCTCCCAGGCTCTCTCCTTCTAGACTCCATAGAAACTTCCAACTCCTTGTAACACCTCCTTGTTTTAGACCAGTGGTTCTCTAACTATGGCCTTACGGAATTCTGGTTCTGTGAGCCAGAGAGGACTCACTTCTTAAATCCTAGAAAAAACCCACGTGCTCTAGAGCCAGCACACGACAACTACTGAAGCCCGCACCCCTAGAGCTTGTGCTCCACAAGAGAAGCCACCTCAATGAGAAGGCCAAGTGCTGCAATAGAGAGTAGCCCCTGATTGCCGAAACTAGAGGAAGCCTGCACAAAGCAACAAAGACCCAGCGCAGCCATAAATTAATTAATTATATTTTTGAATTGTAGGAGAAAAATGGCTAAAGGATAGAAGTGTTTACCAAGCATGCTTCCCCTTTTAAATTTTCCACAAACCATCCACATCTACACCAAAAGTTAAAAAGCAAATACCAGACATGTGTAAACTCCTCCTTGGTTTCTGGGCCACCACCATCTCCTGGTTCTCCTCCTGCCTGACTGGCCTGTCTCCATCTTTGCAAGAACACCTTCTGAAACATCTCTTAAATGCCAATTTTCTCAGGGTCCTGTCCCTGCATCTCCCTCCAAACACTCATGAGTGACCTCATGGGATCTCACTGCTCCCTGCAATTGGCCCTAATGAAACACTTCTCGCTCTGCATTGTAATTGCCTAGTTAATTCTTTATCCTCCTTCCTAACTCGGGACTCTTTGGGATGGAAGCTGTCTGACTCACCACTATATTCCCAGTGTCCAGCTCAAACCCTTGCATGTATTAGGCACTTAATAAATATTTATTGAATGTTGATCATTAATGGAAAATCTACCAGTGTGACAAAAACAAATCATTTTCCTCTGGGCCTGTGTAACTTGGCTGAGATTTTATACAGGGCACCTGTAATAAAATCATGTTTTCTACCAACAAAGTTGTTCCCAGTTTGGATGGTATAGTTAGTACATCAAGATTTCACAGAACATTTTTGTGTATTCTAGCCCCACAGGAAACCCCAAGTCAGCCACCAGCGTCATACTCATAAAGTCAGAAATAAGAAGACAGTTTCCATTCTGAGCAACAGTGATGATGTTAAAATCCCTACAAATATGGAAAACTATCTTTTGGAAACAATTCCTGTTCTACCAGCTTAGCTGATTTGAGAACTGACGACTTACCCATGTCCCAAATCAGTGAATTTAGTTTTCTTTAAAATAGTTAACAGTCTGATCTTCTTTGTGATACAGACAAGATTGTTCCCTGGAAATGCTCTGGTTTACTAGCAACAAATTTTACAAATCATGTGTATCAATTAGTATGCTTTAGGCTGCAAGGAACAGACTACCCAATGAAAGGTAACTTCAGTTCAGTTCAGTTCAATCTCTCAGTCGTGTCCAACTCTTTGCGACCCCATGAATCGCAGCACACCAGGCCTCCGTCTCCATCACCAACTCCCGGAGTTTACCCAAACTCATGTCCATCGAGTCAGTGATGCCATCCAGCCATCTCATCCTCTGTCGTCCCCTTCTCCTCCTGCCCCTAATCCCTCCCAGCATCAGGGTCTTTTCTAATGAGTCAACTCTTCGCATGAGGTGGCCAAAGTATTGGAGTTTCAGCTTCAGCATCAGTACTTCCAGTGAACACCCAGGACTGATCTCCTTTAGGATGGACTGGTTGGATCTCCTTGCAGTCCAAGGGACCCTCAAGAGTCTTTTCCAACACCACAGTTCAAAAGCATCCATTCTTCAGTGCTCAGCTTTCTTCACAGTCTAACTCTCACATCCATACATGACCACTGGAAAAACCATAGCCTTGACTAGACGGACCTTTGTTGGCAAAGTACTTAAACAATAAGAAATTTATGATTCCACAAACCAAGGCATCTTGGTAAGCACTCACTCCAGAATTCATCAGATTTAAGACTCAGAGGTATAAGCTGACTTTTCTTAGATTCTCTTAGCTTTCCCCTCATGGCAGCTATTTTGCCACCATGAGGGGAAAGCTAAGAGAATTTTCCCATGAAAGGAAAGCTAACAATCACATACTCTTATGACAATAAACCTAGGAAGGAAAGGGGGCATTTTCTCCCCTAGAACTTTCCATTAATTAGGAAAATCTTTCCCAGAAGCTTCCAGCAACTTTTCCTAAAGTCTCGTTGGTCTGGATTGGTTCATATGCCCAGCTATAGGAAAGGCTTATTTTCAGCCTTTCTGGCTGGCAGTGGGCTTTGCCATCAAGAAAAATGAAGGGAATAGCTGCTAAATAGGCAATCTACCATCACTTCACTTTTATATATAATACTGTTCATTATTTGCTGGTTTTCGATTAAAACCTCAGAGTTGGTAGGGTGTTCAGGGTAAGGTCATGTCCAGATTCTACCATTCACCCTTCTTTTCTTACAGGGTTTTGATCAATTAAAAATTGACAAAGAAATGTCATCAGATGAGGATAATAACAAAAATATCATCACTAACAGGGGCCCAAAGTGAGTAAGCACTACTTTATGTTATGTTCTAAGGGATCACTGTGCAGTGTAATGACAACCTTGAACAGGCAGGCCTAGAGGGACAGTTATCAGACAAGGGCTTCATCTTCTTCCTTCCACCTCCTTGGCCTTGCTGTTCTTTGAAAACCACTCTGATGGGCTCGTTCTTCCCTGCCCTCGGATAAAACCTGAAGGTGATGGACTTTTCTGTTTACTCTATGGTAACAGAAAGTCCGCCAGGTGTGGTTTACACAGGTGTATGCATTTCTCAAAACTCAGTGAATACACACTTCAGATTTTTGCATTTCAACCTCAGTAAATTTTACCTCAAAAGAAAAACTGGGACTTCCCTGATGGTCCAGTGGTTAAGAATCTGGCTGCCAATGCAGGGGACATGGGTTTGATCCCTAGTTGGGGAAGATTCCATATATTGCAGGGAAACCAAACCCGTGTGCCACAACTACTAAAGCCCGAGTGCCCTAGAGCCTGCGCTCTGCAATGAGAAGCCACCACAATGAGAAGTCACCACAATGAGAAGCCACCACAATGAGAAGTCACCACAATGAGAAGCCCGTGCACTGCAACTAGAGCGTAGCCCCTGCTCGACACAATTAGAGAAAGCCTGCACGCAGCGATTAGGACCCAGTGCAACCAAAAATAAATAAATAAAATTTTTTTTAAAAAAAAAGAAAAACTATAAACAAATATTGAACTCTATAATGATATGCACACTGAAGTAGTTAGGGGAGGCACACTAGTGTTTGCAATTTATGTTGAAATAATTCCAAAGACAAGAAGGTTGTAGAGCCTGCGCTTTAGGCCAGAGAGAGGGTTGGAGCCATTTCTCTTTTTTTTTGCCATGACATGTGGCATGTGAGATCTTAGTTCTCTGACCAGGGATGGGACCCATGCCCCCTGCATTGGAAGCCTGAAGAACCACTGGACTGCCAGGGAATTCCCTCTCATCTCTCCCTTTTGAGATAAAATAACTTCATCCCTATTCTCAGCAAATCTCTTAGAGTCAGTTCAGTCAAGTTAGTCCCTCTCTTCTCCTCCTCCTCCATGGAAATTAAGAGAAAGAGGATGACACCCTCCTGACTAAGGACGACCTTTTCCCAACCTTGCTGTGTGGCCAATGGACTGAGGTCAGAGAAATTTCCTGGGGGTCAGTCCAGCTCTGCCTCCCTGGTAGGTGTTCTTCACCTCCCCAATATGTACTCCACTCTTTCCAGAAAAACCTCCTGATTTTCCCATTGGATCCACTTATTTTTCCTCTCTCTGTTGGTGCAGTTTGTGTAGAGTATCATCCCTAACATAGGCTAGAGCATGAGACCCAGTCTGGGCAATCAGAGGCTCTCATTCCCTTGGCTCCAGTGACTGATTGGTTGATGCATTGAGTACCAAGGCAGGTGTCCTCTCTCACTGGATCTGAAGCTGAGGGGATATAAGTTCTCAAGAGAGAACCCATCATGAAGGATGCTGAGCTAAGAAGAGAGTCCAGATGCTCATGGCATTGTTGTTTAGCTCCTGTAAGCAGCCATGCTTGAAACCTGGCATACCCTCTGGAGTTTTTAGTTACTTGAGCCAATATTCTTTAAAAGTCTTTGACTCTGCCAATTAAGGCTTATCCTCATCATTGCTGCCTAATCTAGGTCTTGCCATCATTCATCTGGCTTAATGCAAAAGCCTCCTGACTATTCTCTCCTCTCCCAATGCATCTCCCACTTGCTGTCAGAGTAAACTTTCTAAAACACAAATATGATTAGATCATGGCTCTGCTTAAAACCTCTCCATGGTGCC